AGTACAACGGGATATATCCGTCCTCTTCTGGTGAGCTCGACCTACGAATCTCTTCTTCATGCACTTTCATACGAAATGAAAGCCCTCTCCCCCAATAATTAATTTAGGGACTAAATGTGCCTATCGTCCCTCAATTTTGGCAATTAAATTATCTGCAAAAATTTGTTGAAAAACACAATCCCATCTCTGAGCCTCCTGCTTGTTCGTACAGTTTACCATTAAAGGTAAAATAGGTACAGTTTATCGTCAGGTTGGTCAGTATCATTATTGACACTTTACCTAATTTCATACTCGCTAAAATCTCCCGAAGTTGGTCTAATGTGGATTGCAGAACCTGTGTCCCATTGTCTACAACAATGTGAATGCATATAGACTCAACACCAAAACTTGCCAGTAAATCTCCACTTTCTATCTCCTACTCATCGACTATGCCAACGAATTCATACGAATTCTTAATGGAACTCTGCCAGGTCTCGGCAATTTTCACTAACCGGAGACAAATAAATCGTGATTCTTCAAAGTGGGACTACATCTTTCGGCATTTTGTGCAGACCATTTGCATTCTCAGTCCTAGCATCTCGTTAAAGAAGAGAGTTCACCTTTCACCTCTCCAGTCCCCCGTTTGTTGCACAATGCTGCAGGCAACCCCCGAGTCTGGACTTAAGGGTTTCCGTATGGTCCCTACTGATTACCTTGTACGTGGTAGTATCATCCAAAGCTTGCATCCTTTTTTCCTGCACAGCTTAGCCTAGCCATTACAGCCAATGCTCCGCCCTTGTCTGCCCTCAACACCTTTTGGTCCTTATCACTTAGATCCCTTATGAAGTCTTTCACACCCTTATTCCTGTGTGACATTTCTACATGCACATTAAGTAAAGGAACGACCTGTAATTCAATATCACCTCTAGTCTCTTCTGTGAGTTCCATCACTATCTCCTCCCTCTTATTCTTACTGTTTGGCAGAGCAAAGTTGAAACGTTTTGAGAGCACTTCCTCATTCGTAACGTCCAATGCTGTTTTGGAGAGGTCTACCACATTTCCACCAACTATCCTTTCCTCTCTATTGTCCCTCATTGACATATCTTGATTAGCCTTTGTCCTGATTCTTATACCAAAATTCATGTTGTCTGTCGGAAAGGTGTTGAGAGAGAGAGAGAGAATGAGAGAGCAAGGGAGCGAGAAGTACGACCGAGCAAGAGGACGAGGCCTGGTTACGCTAGAATCTGGTTTTGACTCTCACATCATTCTCATTTCAAGAGCACTTCATTCACACAACACACATGCAATGGGACTCACTAACATGCGGTAACATTGCAAGATCAAAGGAGTAAACGTTTTAAGGGAGGATGCAGTTGTTCGACAACAATTGCATCCATTTCACGCATCATCTGTAGCCATTTGACTTAACTTTTCAGTAAACCTTTAGGCAAAGCATTGAATATCAAACCAAAACCTGAGCTGTCTCGTTAAGTGGAACAAGTTGAACTACAAGAATTAGGTGGTAGGTTTGAAGCCGGCCACCTTTCTTACCTTCATCTTTGGTGAATGATCGTAAAACATGATGTTCTACTCTGAAGATGTCCGTCACATGACGCACGGAAGTTCGGCAAGTATTCCTCGGGGTTGCAGTGCGGTGCGCCGAGGACCTACAGCTACAGCTTCAAGGCAATCCCCCTACAACTTACAGTGTGGCCAAATTCTTAATCCTTTCCATTCGCCTCTTCAAATGAAATGAAAAGGAATTCACCATGGAATCATTTTAAACTTCATTTTGATGCCAATGTCCAGAAAAATAGGCACTTACTACTTTCTAGCTGTTTTTACTGCTGTTGCTTATGTAAATAACCTGTAAGCCTATCTTTTACTCTCGCCTCTCGTAAACTTACAGCTCTTCTAAAATAAACAATATATTTTTTCGCTCCCTCCCCCCTTCAACCATACACAGTGGTCAGGACTTTAAGGGAGCATTGATTTAAGTAATTAAAGTCTTCTGTGACTAAAAAAGATGTGCTTTGTTTTTTCTTACATAAATTTAAGCGAAAAACCTAAATTGGCGCTACGACGTTCAGGGTGTGGTAACCTGTTACTATCAGATGTTTGGACCTACTAGTTTGCTAACGATTGTGGTTTGTACATAAGTTTGCAAATTTTTCGTCGGTATTCGGCATATCCATAACGAAAGGAAGAAACCAGTATAATAAATTATATTCGTATAAGAGTAGGGTTTCGAGACTACCAGTAAATCAGTGTAATGAGATGTATTCACCCTAT